TGCAAATTCATCTTTGGTTTTGACAGTTTCTTCGAAGTGATGCCAAATGAACTTGGTTGGATCTGTCAAGAGCATGTCCCAGCAAGGGAGAGGTTTGTGTCTGGCACAAGCCTGTGTGATGGTCTCAGAAAGCTCCCGTTCCCATTTGGCACTGGGAATTACAGACTGGGCTCCTGCTTTCCAGCCTTGTGTTGCTGGGCTCCATGCAGAAGCACAAGGACTGGTTGTGCGGTCACTCTGTAGCCTGACTCGCCTGTATGGGGAAAGGTTCGAGCAAGCTTGGCACAGAACCAACTTAGGACTTCCCTGGCAGGAGGAGCTGCAGCACAGAAGGGCATGGGGACTTCAGAGGCGCAGGGCATCCCAAAGCATCTGCCTTGTGTGGCACATTCCCATCTTGCAGGCTCTGGAGCCCCTAGGAAACTGACAGAGGTGCATAAAGCAACCAATGCTTCTTAGCACAAAGGATTCGGGTTCCCTCAAAACTCTCTTTTTTATACTGGAGAACCATTTTCAGTGTTTTCTTGACAATTCCATGGGCCCACCCTTTTCCTGTACCCAGGCTACTGTGTTCAAGAAGCCAAGTGCTGCACATGGCAGTGCTGGGGCTGGAGACCACCCCAATCCCTCATAGCAACCTCTGTGCCCTGTGGCATGGCAGCTGGCTTTCCTCTGCCATTCTGGCAGTTTTGCTTCCTTGCTGTTGCTCCTTTCCAGCTGTCAAGCCCTTGAGCTGTCTGCTTAGGGTTACTGTTGCTATGCTCAGAGGAGACCAATTGAGTGACTTTCCAAGACCAGGGGATTTTGCAGGAGAGCTGCAGTGTTCAGCTCACTCTGAGCCTGTCCTTTGTCCCTTGTCTCTCTGCCAGCCCTGCCCTTTGCTGTGACTGTCCCACAGGCTCTGGCAGAGGTATCTCACAGCAGCTGCTTCAACAGTGGCATTTCCCAGCTGCTTGCCTTGCCCCTTCGCTGGAGGGGGAGCCCAGTGTCATGCTGATGGATTCCTAGCATGGTTACAAGAACTCAAAAAACACTGGACCTGTGTGGATGTGGCAGGTTGCGAGCAGAGCAGCCAGGCAGCAGGGGCATGTCCTGCTCTGCCACCAGAGTATGGAGATAATGATTTTCAGTAGAAGCCTCTTTCAGAGTTGAAATTTAATTTAGTGACGCCCTGAGGTGAAATGGTGCTCAGATTAAACTGCAGTTTTTCGTATTGGCTGAGGGAGAAGCAGGGGAGCAGCTCATCCTGGCATTGCATAGAACCAGAGAAGTGGAAGTGATCGACAGGGATCATGTGGTCCAATTCTTGGTCCTGCACAGGACACCAACACAGACACCCCAACAGTCCCACCCTGGGCGCCCCTGGCAGCGCTGTCCAAGCCCTCTTGGAGCTCTGGCAGCCTCAGGCTGTGCCCATTCCCTGGGGAGCCTGTTCAGTGCCTGAGCACTGGAGGAAGAACCTTTTTGTAATATCCATTCTAACCCCATCCTGACACAACTCCAGCCATTCTCTTGAGTCTTGTCACTGGCACACAGAGCAGAGATCAGAGCTGCCCCTCATCAGGAAGCTTCAGAGCACAGTGAGATGTGCCCTCATCCTCCTTAAGAATGATCACCGTGTGCTCCAGGAATCGGCTGCCCTTACTAAAACCCACTTTTCCCTCTATATGCCTCCACTCCTCTGTACAGCTGCAGCACAGAGTGCTGCCCTTGCTGTCCAGGTTGAAACAGCCTCATCCTGCTGCCGGAGTGTCCGAGAGAAAATTCATCTGCAAATTTAAATAATATACAGTTTTTCTGCTTTCCTGATACTGAGGTGGGAGATTCTCAGTACACATGGGCAGCTCCATTTGCTAGTGAATCTGCAGGGAGGAGAGCTCAGCACCTTTGAGCAGCCTGGAGAAGAGAAGGCTCTGGGGATACCACAGCCTGTAAGTGCTTAAAGGGGGCTTGTAAAAAGATATCAAGACTTTTAACGTGGACAGAGAGTGACAGGAAAAAAGGCAGCTATTTTAAACTAAAAGAGGGGAGATTTAGATTAGATGTTAAGAGAAAATTCTTCCCTGTGAGGGTGGTGAGGCCCTGGCAAAGGTTGCCCAGAGAAGCTGTGGCTGCCCCATCCCTGGAAGTGTCCAAGGCCAGGTTGGATGGGGCTTGGAATGACCTGGGATGATGAAAGGTGTCCCTGCCCACAGTAACGGGGTGGAATGCCCACAGTAACGGGGTGGAATGAAATGGGCTTTAAGGTCCCTTCCAACCCAAACCATTCCATTATTACGTGTTTCTGATTTCCCTTAGACACAGTCCCTGACTGATCCTCTTGGTTGCCCTGGTCCTTCCGTGGGCAGTGGTGTCCGATTTTCTAACCTTTCTGGTGAGCTCTCAGAGAATGACCTGTCTGATGGTAGCGGGTAATGGGCAGGCTACTGTGGGCTTGTGTCACTGTTTATTATTAGGGAAGGAAATTGATGTGTGGCTCAATCAGCAGCTTTGGTTGTAATTCAGTGGGAAGAACCAGGTATTGCTGAAGGCTGTTAACTCTGCCCCATTTGATTTTCCTGCTCCTACTGTTGGATGCTGCAGGCTGGTATGTGCCTTGTTGGGTGAGCCTTTGTCTTCCAGCTCCATTTAAATTCTTCCATGGCTGTCCCCTCTCTCCTATGTCTGTCCAGCTTGATTTCCACTCTGGTTCCCTCTGGGAGAGTCTCTTGCATAGTCCCACTCACAGCCATGGATGGCTTTCTAGAGCTCCCAAAAACTTCCCAAGCAAGTGCCTGGGTGTGAGTGGTGCTTATCCCTTGTAGCAGAAGCTACAGCTGTGGGTATGTGTAATTTCTATGGTTTTCCCCCCCTCCACGCAGCCCCCTCTAGGATCCGACCAGCTCAGAGATACGGGGCTGTGAGGGGAGGAAATACCAGGAGAGGGAAAAGTATTCAAAAGAGGCTCCTTACCCAGGGTGTTGGAACAGCTCTCTTTATTCTGTGGTGTCCATGGAGAGCGGGGCAAAAGAGAAAGAGCAGGAAGTTTCAGGGGTCTATATAGGTTTTGGACAGGGTGGGCTCTCCTGGCTCCCTGCCAACCCCGTTGGGGCAGGGAGGAGGATCCAGGGGTTATCATGATCAGAGCCACAGAGGCCCTAGGAAAGGGGGGCAAAAGGGTGTCCAGGAGCTCACTGTAACAGGTATGGGAAAGATATAAACAGGAGTATTGCCCCATTGCTGGAGGAGTGGAGTGTGGCAGGTCAGGCTTGAGTGCCAACCCCTGTTTTTGGCTCCAGAGTGGGTTGGATTTCTTCCAGGAGTGATATCATCCATCTCTGTTCTGACACCCACATGGGGCAGGAGGAGCAGGGGTTTCCAGAAGAGCCTGAAGCTGTTTATACAGATATGTTTGGGTCTGCATTGGCTGAAGCTTCTGGGCATCTTTAACTATTTACATACAGAACAGTTGCTCTTTGAGCTCAGCTGTGCTGGTTTCCTTCCTGTGCTACAGGCGGAGCTGCCCACTCTTGGGCATTACATCATGGTGGGGAGGGGAATCAGGATGGAGGATGGATGCTGGGAGGTGGGGAGTGTGGAGGAGGTGGTAGTTTCACACCTACATGTTGGCATGGGAGACCATAAGTTTAAAATACTCCCTTTTAAAATAGTTGCCTCTCAGCAAAATTTCCTTTTTTCAGCCAGACTATCTATTCTGCCAGTGCTTTGTGGGTCATGGGGTAGATATTGTTAGGTGTTTCTAGAACATGAGAGCAGTAGGTGGGTAGAAAAAAGGGCTCAGTCCCTCTGGGTGAGTGGGATAAAGGCAGGCATTTGGCCTCCTCCTCCTCCTCTGCAGGCAGCAGCATCCCTGTGGGCAGCAACATCTGTGCGGGCAGCAGCACCCATGCAGGCAGCAGTGCCCTCCAAAACCCTGCTGGCTGGCCAGTCATCTCTCCAAGGACACCCAGTGAAGCTCTGAGCTTGAGTTACTCACTTAAAGCATAAAAAGGAGAGAGTGACCAAGAAGCCAGGGTGGAATTACTGCTGGTTTCACTTTCCACTTCCTGATGTGTGACATGGTGGGGTTTGTGCGTGTTCCTCTAGAAGGCAACAGAGATTCATTGTGACCAGGTTTTCAAACATCTGGGTTCAGATGGCTGCATTAGAAATGCTCCTGGTTGGATTTTTTTTCTGTCCTACCATGGCAGGATACTTCAGTGCTCTTATATTTTAATTTTAGTTTTGATCTGCATATTCATGGTATTTCCAATGCCTTGTTTCAACTGGTGGGTGTATAACAAGAAGGTTTAAGGAGTGTGGAAATGGCACAGAAGCAGTGGCATGTTCCAGCATTCCATTTAGCCAGAACTGTTGCCAAAGAGTCTACTGAGGACAGAGGATCACGTTTCCTTGGTCGTTTGTTCAACCCCTCTGGCCATCATCCAACTCTGAGTCTGGCTGCAGAGGCAATTGCTTGTATGCAGGGACTGGTAAATGAAACGGTTTAAAAATATTTTTCTTTCTGGTTGAAAAATGGTATTCTAATTCAAATGTGAAGATACAATCAGACAGCCCAGCATGTGATGAGCTGTCACAGAGCCTATGCCTCAGCTGACTGATAACCATTACAATGGAAAAACTACCCAAATTAACCTGCTGAGGCAGTGGCTCACTCCACTCAACCTGCATCAACGTGTCTTCTCCTGGCAGAGCCATAAATGGAGTTTCCCGTTTATTATCTTGGCCATCAAAGCGATAATTTGATTTTCTTTAAAATCATTGTAGCATATTTTAAATAGAGGTTGAGGCTACATAGGCACTGAAAATTGAGGTAGCCTGGAGGTCACACAATGAGTCAGCAGCTCAGAGGGATCGGCCTAAGGTCTTGAGTGTAGGTTGGTAAATCCAGTGTTCAGCTGTAATAAGGTATAAACCCACCCTTGTGGGATTGTGCCCATCACAGAATCTCCATGGGCCTTTTATCTGGGGACAAATATCTCTTGTATGTTCCTTCACAGGCTCATGATGAAGTCTGCCCTGAATTCCCGCTGACTTGTGAAGGCTGTGGGAAGAAGATTCCCAGGGAGAAGGTATCCATGCGACCCTGTGCCGTGGGGGTATTTGGTGTCCTGATGGGCTGAGCTTGGCATCCTGGCAGCAGGGAGGAGCAGAGTTCATTAGGAAATGAAATGGGGAAAACAACTGAGTGGCAGCTGTTAATGTGAATGTGAGTTTTCCGTAAGGATGGATGTGAGGTAATTATGGCTCAGGGGCACTCGCAGGTCAGTGTTGGTGCTGCAGCTGCTGCCTCCCATGGAACTGTGCACGGGGGCAGAGCACACTCATGAGTTTATGTTCTGTGTAGAGCAACTGCATCAACTACTGCTGCAATTTTGGAAAGAGAGCCCATCTCCAGCTACATTAATTGTTATCTAAGTAATAATCTAATGGAATCCATGCCTGTATCATTCCCAGGCTGCTGGCTCCTGGGGCTCAAAAGTCTGAAAAATTCAAGTTTTGGGAAACATTTTCAAAAAGCAAAAAGCACATTCATCTGAAACCATCTTGCCTTCTACAGGCAAATATTTTTAGTAGCAGTGTTGGAAAAAGCCCTTTAGCAGGGCAGGGGAACAGAGGCAGCAAAAAGAGGAGCAATAGTGTTCTTCCAAATGGGCAGCATAAGGAGGGGCTAGGGGTGGGGGTGCAGCCCACCTTTTCTGCAGGCTGGGGTTTGGGGTACAGCCTGGCTTATCTGCAGGTGGGAGCTGAAGCCCTGCAGGAAGCTAGCTCATGGGGTCCCCATGGGTGATCTACTCTGTGTTTAAATATTAACTCCCAAGTTTATTTCTCCAAAATCTTGTTTATAATTTGCTGCCATGTTGACTCTGAATAACCTGACTCATTGCAGAAGCCAGATGGGTCTAGAAGGCTTTAAAAAAGTGGTTTAAAATCAGTTTTAATTGACATCTGTTGTAGCAGATGTAGGAGTTAAGTGGGGAGGGAATATGGTGGTTATTCAGAACAGAGCTCTGGTATCTGATGGTGAGGGGTGTACTAAACCCCAGCTGAAGCTGTGACAGTGCTCGTTGGATTAATCATGCGCTGTGTGGAAACCTGAAGGAGTCATCTCGATGCTGAGGGGTTAGTGGCACCTCTCTGCAGAAATGTAATGCTGGGAGGTAAAAACACCAACCTGTAGCACGTCCTTACCAGAGTTGTGTGAAGTGCCCAAAAAGAATGTGCCCTTGTTTCATGGGGTTGTTGCCTGTGCTTCCCATTCCTCAGCCCTTAGGGAAGCTCATTATTCTGCATCCACAGCTTGTACCTGTACAAGCTTTTTCACTCTTGCATGTGCAGGTGAGCACTGGGACTTCCCAGCCAGCAAGAGAAGGAGAAATTAGGCTTTCTTCAGTTGTCAGGGCTGTATTTGTATTCCGGTGAAAGTAACACCTGATGGTGGGCAGAGCACAGGTTTAGTGGGCCTTGTGACAGCTGGTGATTAGCCACAGCTTGGGCATTCTTCAGCTTGGGTGTAGTTTCCCAAATGTCAGTGGGATGGAAAGGGAGCACTAGGGACACATAAGATCTAACACTGCCTTGCTTCCTGCCTTTCTAGTTTCGAGACCATGTGAAGACGTGCGGCAGATCCAAAGTACCTTGCCGGTTCGAGGCTGTGGGCTGTGCTGAGGTGGTAAGGGCTCCTCTCTTGGGTTACCCTGGGGTTTCTCAGTCCCAGCATTAGAGTTCACCTGCAAACTGCCATTGCCCAAGCTGTCACAGCTGTTTTCCTTCAGGTATTTGATTAAACCCATTGCACATGGAGCATCACATCATCTACTGTGCAGTATGGGCATCCCAGGGATTAAATTCCTGTGGAAGGAAATCTCCTCCTACTTTAAGAGCACCTTAAGTGCTTTTGAACTGTGGTGGTTATGCTTCTTTCAGGGGGAGTGGCTTCACACTGACGGAGGTCAGGTTCAGATGAGATTTTTACAAAGAAATTGTTCCCTGGGAGGGTGGGAAGGCCCTGGCACAGGGTGCCCAGAGGAGCTGTGGCTGTCCTTGGATCCCTGGCCAGGCTGGATGGGGCTTGTTCCTGCCCAAGGCAGGGAGTGGGACAGGATGAGCTTTAAGGTCTCTTCAAATCCAAGCATGTGTGTAATGACTTGTGATTACAGTGATTCTGTAAGTGAAGAGCTGGGGCCAGGCCATTTCTCTATGTCACTTTGTTTTTGCAGGTCCCACTGGTTCAAATAAATGCCTTCTCCAGGAGGTTATGTGAGGCTTTGTCCTTTGTTGCTGCTAGGTACATCTGACAGAGCTTTTCTGGGAGGGGTTGGAAGAAGGCAGAGCAGACTAGTACAGCTGGGGGAAGCATGTAACATCCCTCATTATATGTGATTTGAAGCATTTCTAAAACTAAACAAAAACCCAAATCACCCCCACCGAAGCACATTTTTTAAAATTTTTTCTTTGTTTTTTCCCCCTGTAAATTATGAATTTAAAGCTGATTTTGTGACCTGGATAGGAGGAATTTGTTCTGTGGATGGTGACAGTGTAGATTGCACATGCTGAATGAGAGATGTATTTCTCTTCATGTAGGTGGAAAATGAAAAGCTCCCCGAACATGAAAGGAAGTGTTTGGCAGAGCATCTCTACATGCTTATGAGCTCTGTGCTCAGCCTCAAGACTGGTGCTGGGGACCTGAAACCCCTTCCTGTCCCTTCCTCATCACAAAACAGCTCCCCACTTCTGGCAGCAAACTCACTGTGCTCGGAGTCAGAGCTCTCCCGGTCCCTGGAGCTCTTGGGAAGGTGTGAGGCCCTTGAGAGGAAAACAGTTACCTTTGAGAACATTGTCTGTGTGCTTAACCGGGAGGTGGAGAGAGTGTCCCTGACAGCTGAAGCTTACAGTCGCCAACACCGGCTGGACCAGGAGAAAATCGAAACGCTCAGCAACAAGGTATGTAACTGCTTGCCTCAGCTTCCCAGCACTCCCAGCAGACGCTGCTTCCTGTTTCCTTTCCATCTCATGAGCTAGCAGAGCCTCACCACTCAGCCCTGAAATTCCACAAAGCTGAAGGCAGAACTAAAATACCCTTCGTGCCTGTGCCCAAAGCTCATCAGCTCCCTGGAAAAGCTGGGAATTTAACTGACCTGTGTGAAGCATCCAATCTCTGTTAATTATCAAACTGGGCAAGATACTGAGGGGTTCTTCCTCAGCAAAGATTTCTGACAAGAGCCAGAGCACCCAGAATTTCACTGCATCTCCTTGTGCTGCATCTCACTGAATCTGTGGAGCTGCTCACCTTCCAGACCTTTCCAAAGGGGTGCTGCCTTTGCCAAAGGAGTGCTGTCAGTGGTGCTGCCTGCAGCAACACACTGGAGGTGTGAAGGAGCTGCCTCCACCAGTCTGCTCCTGCACAGTCCCTGTGGAGGGCTCCTGGTGTTCCTGGCACCTGGAGCTGTGCAGTTTGCAATGTACCTGTACCCTCTGGGCAGCTGATCTAGTGTGACCCTGTGTGAGCTGGCAGGGATGAACCCTCCAGAGGGTGTAGGTTCTTTTCTTTCTCAATTTAGTTTTGTCACAATGCTGAGTTGTTGGGGATTTTTTTCTCCATCCTCACTTCTTGTGCCGCTCAGCCAATGGAGCAGCTCCTTGGAAGGAGTTTTACATTGGCTACGGGAAATTTCCCAGCTCAAGCACTAAGCTGTATTGATGGATCTTCTCCAGAGTGACAGGGTGCAGAAGGAAGCTTCAGTGAATTGGCTTATGTTGCTGGGTTTCTCCTTCCCGTACTCCCTGTCCATTCTGGAGAAAGTCTCTCAGTAAGAAGCAGCCCTGAGGGGATGCCGGGCTCTGTCAGGGTCTGCCAGCTCTCCCCGGCCCCAGAGCCTGCGTGTTCCTAACCTGCACATGTGTCCCGGAGCAGGTCCGGCAGCTGGAGAGGAGCATTGGGCTTAAAGACCTGGCCATGGCTGAGATGGAGGAGAAGATCCGCAACATGGAGGCTTCCACCTACGATGGGGTTTTCATCTGGAAGATAACAGAGTTTGCCCGGAAGCGTCAGGAGGCGATAACAGGCCGCTCTCCTGCCATCTTCTCTCCAGGTGTGCAAAATCCCCAAAATCTTTTGCATCTCAGCTGTGTGTGAGTTTCATGGCAGATCCTTTGCTTGGGAAATGCTGCCAAGGCCAGACTGAGAAAAAAAATATTCCATGTGGAAGGGGGTGTTTTGTCTTGGAGAGCGAAGCATGCAGAGCAGTGCTGTTCCAAGAGGGAAGAGAGGCTGAGAGGAGAGAGGTGCAGGCTGTGGATGAGATGAGAAAGGGAATTGGCTGTAATTGTTTGATTTGCATTAGAAGTAAAGGCAAGGAAATACCAGCTGATACCTGTGTTAAAGAAAAGGAAGTGGAGATACTGCTTGCAGTGTTGTGAGAACAGAGTGATTGCCACAGGGTTTGGCAAAGGGCAAAATCTTGAGTTCAAAACAGCAGGTTGTACAAGGAAGGTTCATTCAGGGCCTGATCCAGGACAAGCCAGGGTGAAGACCATCAGTCTCTGGGGGGGAACGGGGAGGGCCTTACTGGGTTCTTGCTCTGCTCCTTGCCTGAGCCAGGGAGAGCAGGATGCCCAGCTGCATTTTCCCTCTCCCTGGCTATTCCCACCACTCTGGAGCTATCTTTCCTTCTTTTCCTCAGTGGGTTTTACATTCAAAGGGTGATGGGAGTGCTGAGAAGGCCCAGAGGGGCCAGTGGGGATATTCTCCTTGGACTAGCAAAGGGATCATCTGTCCTGAGAGCCTTTGCGTGAAGCAGGTGGGGAGAAAGGAGCAGAGGAAATGAGCTGGGGATTTCCAGGAGGAACACAGTGACAAAGACCTGATCTATTGTTCCTCGTCCTGTGGAAGAGCACAGTGTCTCTGCTATTCATGGTCTGCCTGTTGGGAAAAGCACCAAATCCTGCAGTAAAATATTGGCTGTGACCCCTGATCTCTGCCTGTGCCTGCTGAGCCTCGCCAGTCCCAGATGTACTGCTCCAGGCCGCTGTGGGAGAGTGACTTGTGGCAGGTCCCCTTCCAAGCTGTGACCCCACACGGGTCTAGTGTCACACCACAGGCATTCCCAGGACTGCTGGGGAAGGAAAGTGTCTGACATCCCATCCTAGACATGCCACCATGCCGTGGGGATCCAAATGAGAACTAAAGTTCACTTGCTTGAGCCCCTGCCCAGATCAGAGGCACCAGCTCACAGTGGGGGTGCTGAAGGTGCTCTGCCACCAGCCAGGTGCGTTATGGAGGGGTTTGTTCCTGCTCACCAGTGTTACTGCCATGAACCACAGCTCCTTCAGCACTGGGGTGCAGGAGGATTGGCCCAGCTCTGGGGCAGATCTCCCCTGGCAGTGAGGGAACAGCCAGGGGACCGGCAATTGCTCTGTGCACAGCATCTGCTCAAGCCAGGGGCTGCAGTGCCTGGCCCTGGGCTTTCCAGACCACCTCTGGTGCAGCCCAGACCTGGCTTCTCCCAGATTCCAAACTTCAGAGCCCTCAGAATTCAGAGAGATCTGCTGGTGCCAGGCTGTGCTGCATTGGACCCTCACTGTGCCTGTTGCACACTTCTCTAACAGCTTTCTACACCAGCAAGTACGGCTACAAGATGTGTCTGCGCGTGTACCTGAACGGGGATGGCACCGGCCGCGGGACCCACCTGTCCTTGTTTTTTGTGGTGATGAAGGGACCTAACGACGCGCTGCTGCGGTGGCCCTTTAACCAGAAGGTGGGTCTGGATCAGAGCCCACTGTGTCCATCCATGGCCTCTCTGGTTTGGCACCCACTCGAGCTTCTCAGTACTGTCACTCTGACACGCTTGGCAAGGCAGAGGAAGGGCTCTGTATTGGCTGCCCTGGGGGTTTCCTAGGTGTGCTGAGAGCACTGGCTGTGCTGTGGGGCAAGGGGGTGACATGGGCTGTTTGGAACTGCACAGAGCCTCTGCAGGGGTTGAGGGCAAGGGAAGGTTGTGGTGGCCTCAGAGCTCAGGGACAGTGGGTGCTCACTCCCTGTCCGGAGCTCAGACCCCAGCTCCTGGGCACTGCACGTTTGTGGAACACATGGAGGCTGAGTGAGCGGGCAGAAGCAGATGCAGAGAGGACAAGAGCCCTGGCTCAGGGAAATACCTGAGTGCAGTGATGGTTCTGACAGCAGAGTGTAGGTTTTCAGTCAGTCCAACAGACTTGTGCTGCCACAGGGAAGTTTCCAGCGACAGGCAGATGTGGGGATGGGGAAGATTTCTACAGGACATTACTGAGGTGATTACAGCTGGTCCCACTCAGAGGCGTTTCTCTGATTTGCAGGTGCACAGGGTGGCTGTGGCTGCTGGTTCTTGCATGCCTCACAGCAGGTCACTGGGCAGGGCTTCCATGTGTCTTTTATTCAGCCACTCCCCTATGCTTTCACCTTTCCCCACAGGTCACCCTGATGCTTCTGGACCAGAATAACCGAGAGCACATCATCGACGCCTTCCGCCCTGACGTGACGTCCTCATCCTTCCAGCGCCCTGTCACAGAGATGAACATCGCCAGTGGCTGCCCCCTCTTCTGCCCTGTGTCTGTCATGGAAGCCAAGAACTCCTACGTGCGTGATGATGCCATCTTTATTAAAGCCATCGTTGATCTCACGGGCCTCTAACCCTCCTGACCTTGGAGCAGTGAGCATGGAGCCAGCACTGTCCAGGGCATCTCCCGCTTGTGCTGCACTTCAGGCGGGTCTCAGAGCAAGAGGAGGGGGCACAGAGAGGGGAAAAGCCCTTCCTGAAAAGAGACCTTTGCTCTGAGTGGAAATGAGGTGTCTGATGGGAGCCCTCTTTCCTGAGGAGAGGGTTGGGTGGACACTGGCAGGCTGTGGAATATGGAAGATTCCCTGCAGGGACTTGGAAGTCTGAACTGCTGCCATCTGGACTCCAGTGGAAACCAGTGCAGCTCTTGCTCTACCAGTTTAGCTGACGTCCACAGCTCTCTGTAGTAAAAAAGCAGTTTTCCCTGCCTGAGCTCCACCTCCTGTGGATTTTGGCTCAGCTGTCTAGGATTTCCTTCTGAGATCTCTATGTTCCTGGAAGTTGTGCACTGTGGGGTGCCATGGCTCTGCACTGCTGGTTGCTCCACACCCTGGGAGACAAGGAGGGTGTGTGACAGCTGCAATGCCAGCTGGGCAATAGAGACACAGACTGGTTTGGTGCTGTTGGTGTGTTAGGAGAGTGCTGAGCCCAGCTGCAGGGCAGGGGAGCCCTGAGTCCAGCCCTTGCTGGGTGTGTGATGGGCGGTGCATGCTGGAGTGTGGAATGGGGCAGGAGGTGCTGCTACCAAGGAGGGATACCTGTAGCTGCAACCACAGGGTTGCCTGCGGGGAAGAAGTGAATCTGCAGTGGAGATTGTCCCTCCTGTGCCGGGAGAGGAGGTGACACAGAGCTCAGTGTGCGCCCTGAGAGCTCCAAGCCCTCCCCCTCTGCCATGTGTGCCAAGCAACACTGGGTGGGAGGGGTGCTGTGCTGGGAGCTGTCTTTGCTCATAGGCAATGACACAGGCTCTGAACTGGCTCCACTCCCACGGTGGGACAGCTCTACCATCCTTCCCAGGGCTGCTGCTGCTGCTGAGCTCCACGTCCATCTGTGGCCGCACTCCCGTGTCTGTCTGGGCAGTGCAGCTTGGGCTGTGGGCTGTGTACTGTCTGCCCATGCAGTGGGGCACTGCTGGCCAGGCCCTGCACTCTCACAGTGCTTGCAGTCATCAGCAGCAGGTCTCCCCCACTGTTCCTCCCCATCCCTGAGCTCAGGATGGGTCACCTGGTTCCAGGTGTCAGCACCCTGGAGCTTTTCCTTCACTTGGCCCCACATTGAACTTGCAGCCACCTGGGTAGGCTCTGGGGGCTGGAGAAGTGAAGTGTGCTGTCCCATTTCTGTCCCTGGGCTCCTTCCCTCTGGGCAGCACATGTTCAACAGCCATGAGAAGGTCTCTCTTGGTGTTAGTGGGGAAGAACTGGCTGCCACATCCCTGCATCGTTCCCTCTGCAGCTTTGTTGTGGCCATGGGTAGCTCTGGATAGGCCTTGATCCAGGGTGGACTCAAAGGTTTGTTGCCTCCTTTGCCTGGGCTTCCCACATCCTGTCAGTGGCTGAACGTGCCACAGGAGATGTTTTGTTGGTGACAGGAACCAGCTGTGAACACCCTGCAATGATCAGGGGCCCTGGCTGGCTCTTGTGCTGCTCCTTGGGCAGTGGGGCTGGAGCATGATCAACTTCCTTGACGGCTGCCAGGGATTGGCCCTTCAGCATCTCCTGCCGGGTGCCCAGCCCAGGTCTGATGGCTGCAGAGCCTGCCAGGCTTGTGGTCTGCTCACACCTTGCCTCTGGCACAGCCACCCTGAGGGATACAGAACACCGTCAGGCTCTGGCTGGCTGTCCCCACCATGTGCTGGCACTGCCCTTACCTGCCCCTGGAGCTGTTTGGAATGTCCCTGCTGCTGCCCAGGAACTCAGGGCCCTCTAAGCCTCCTGCCCTTGGAGCAGTGGGCATGGAACCAGGAACTTGGAGCATGCCCAGGAACTCAGGGGTGCCCAGTGCTCTGCAGGCTGAGCTGGAGCCTGGCCCAAGCTGAACCTCTTGCACCCACATCTGCTGTGCTGGCCAGGGGCTCTTCAGACAGGTGCTGGGGTGACCTGTGAGCACCCTTTGGAATCGCTGCGTGGAACTTCTCACACGTGTGTGTGCAGGGTCTGAGGGCTGACTCAACCCTTGCTATTGGGGAAGTGGGACAGAAGCTGGTGACAGCACAGCCTGAGGTGGGAGAGGAGTCACAGGACCCTTCCCTTTGTGCAAGTCACCTCCAGCCTGTCCCAAGAGACAGATCAAGCCCTGTGTTGCTGCCTTCACTCTGTGCCTTACAAGGAAAATTCAGGCTGGCAGAGCCCTGTTCCCATCTACAGCAGCTCCCCAGGGATGCTTGGAAAAGCCTGGGAAGGGAGAGGAATGTCAGCTCTGCTCATAGAATTGCTGGGAATTGAGTGTTATATGGGACGGAGCTTGTTCTGTGTTGATTAGAATGTCTGCTTGTGGGGTGCTGCCTGCAGCGGGGCTGGGGGCTCTGGCCAGGTAGTGCCAGGAGGGACTGTGAGACACTGGCTGAGATGGAGGGATCTGGGCTGCTTTTGGGGTGGGAACTGGTCCTCCTGCCCCAGCATATGTTTGGAAAGTCTGTGGGGGTGTCAGTGCTGTAGCAAAGCTCAGGCCGAGCTCTTCAGGCCACGGGCTTACTGCTGGAGGGCAAAGATGGGCTGTCAGCCCCTCCTGCTGGGAGCTTTTTCCTCCCCAACGTTCTGGTGATGCTGATGCTGTCCGGGCCTTTTTTGGCTCTTAGCAGCTCTGGAGCTGGCAGCAGGAATTGTTCTTATGTGCTGCAGGCGGGGGCCCAGCCCCTTCCTGGGCACAGCTCTGCCGGCCTGGTGGCCACATGGACAAACCCTGGACACAAGCCACCACTGGATTTTTGTGGGTTCTTTTTTTTCCTTTTGACTACACCATCTCAGCCTGGCACTGCGAACTAGGTTTTGTTTTCCTTGAGGGTGTAGTATGGTCAGAACCACTAATAAAAGCTGTTTGAACAGCATTGTTGTGTATGAGCCAGGGGATCCTGGGCACAGCATGGGGAAGGATTGCGTCAGGGTAGGAGCGTTTCTGTGCTGGGGGATTATTTCTGTGCTGGGAACTCTTCCCCAGCTCCTGCGTCCCTGCAGGATTCCCAAATGAAGAGGGAAGGGAAGGAGCTGGAGTCTAGCTGCTGGAGCTCTCTGGTCCAAAGGCCAGTAAGAGCCAGTGCAGCAATGGTTCCAGTGGTTCTGCTGCTGCTAAGGCAAATCCAACACTCCTGTTCCTGGGTTGTAACAGCTCTGAGCTCTTCCAGAACAGCCTGCTTTTCCCTCGCTGCTGTAGGGAGCCCAGTGCCTGCAGGATGCCTTGTTCCTGCCCCTCTCAAGCTGCAGCACCAGCCCAGGGACTAAACCCGTGTGGGGGCAGCAGCCTGGTGGCCTCTACTCACTGTGTATGGAAGAGACAAACCCAAGGGATGACCACGGGTGCCTGTCCCCTCTGGGAAGCCCACAGACCCCCTTCATACCACAGCAGCTGCTGCACCAGGGAGATGCAAAGGGCAATGAGGGGGACAGTGGCATTGCAGCTCAGGAGGCTGCTGTGGCACAGGAATGCCAAACAGCATTGGAGAGCTCTCTGCTCACCTGTTCCATGCCTGTTAGTGCTTGGAGAAACATAAATCCAGGAAGGATCTAGCCCCTGGCCTGTCCTGGAGCCTGCAGTGTTCAGCCCTGGCTGCCATGGATGCTTGCTGCCCTTTGGCTATCCCCCCTGCCTCTCTTCTGTTGCTCACAGCTCTCTTCGCACACTCCCCTGGCCAGGGCAGGTAACCACAGGCTGGGCAGCAGCTCCTGCAGTGCTCCAGCCCAGCCCTGTGATAGTCCTGGCCTCAGCTGTGCCTCAGCAGAGCAGTGCTTGGAAAAACAAGCTCACATTGCAGAGATGCTTTAGCAGAGTATTTATTCAATGCCAGAGCGAAGAGCAAAACTCAGTACAAATAACACCTCAGTGCCTTGCTCGCTGCTGCACCGAGCCACGGGTGGAGAGTTCACAGTTGGGGGATGAAGGGGAGGCTGTTCCTTCACTGTGTGACTGGACAGAGCAGGATGTGGAGCCTGTGTGCACACACAGGAAAGAACTCCTAATTTCATGACAGAAAACCTGAGTACGGGGTGTTTTGGATGAAGCTGGGGCACAGCAGGACACAGGTGCTGACCCTCCTGCTGCAGAGGCTGCTGAAGCCATCAGTGCCATTGTGACAGAAGCTGCCACCTCTGTCAGGTCTATCAGCAACCCCAGACTGGGAATGGCATGGGCACCTGCCCCGAGGCCCCAAAATGCCTCCCCCTGCGGCTCCTTCCCAGCCCTGCTTCCAGGAGCAACAGCAGCTCTCGGGCCCCATCTAGGCCAGGTCAAGATTAGGAGCTTAATTTTAGACTCTGACATTTGGGTACCTGCTACAGGGACAGAAGCTCAAGGGACAGACAGTGAGCACCACTGAGTCCATACCGTCCCCACTTCCTGTGGGGTCCTGGAGGAACTGACCCTCTCCATGGCAGCTCAGCCCCAAGGACAGGGAGCTTATTCAGCTGTCACTGCAGGCAGGAGGGCTCCATCCCCATCACCTGCAGGTGAATGAATACCTGCAGCACCTGTGGGTGCCTACACCTATTCACAGAGAACATACCAAAAGAACCTAAATTGCCACAATTGGGTAGCATGGGCAGGAGGTAAGCTGTCCTCACAGGTACCCCAGAAAGGGACAGCAGATCCACCACAATGAATACATTCCCAATCCATAGCTTATTGAAGTGCTACTCAGAGGAAGACAGGCACAGCCATGTGACCACCAGCCCTTCCCCTCTCCCAAGTTTGGAAACTGGCAATACCAATACACAGAGCATGGGCCAGTCAGGCTCCCAGCCCTGGCCCTGCTGCCCCTTCATTGCTCCCAGTCCCTGCTGCCCTCCTGGGCAGAGGTGCCATGGGGCAGAGGCACTTGACATTCCGCAGCAGCCAGACGAGTTGCCCGTGGAGCTTTGGGACAAACACACATTAATAAAACCGCAATATAAAGAGAGTCCTGCAGTCAGGCAGCACAGCTGCACCATGGTTCCTGCTAAACACTCTGCAGATGGCGGCTCCCAGTGTGGCTGGCCATGTCCCCAGCTCACACAGACCCACACTGGACATGCCTCAGTGTCCCCTGTGCCCAGAGCTCGCCCAGAGAGCTATGCCCAAGTAGCAATGCTGGTGAGAAGCTGTGGGAGCCCACCCTGCAGTGACCAGCTCAGCTGCTGCCCAGCAGAACCACACCAGGGCCCCAGCTCCTATGTCCTGTCTGAAGCTCCTGCTTCAAGGAGGAGGCGATTCCTGCTGCCAGGACCCCTCGTGGCTTAGCCATAGGATCTGTGTGCCTAGAGCTCATCTCTGTGCAGGGCTCAGGGCTCTGTGAGCTCAGAAGGAGGTGCTGCAGTGAAGAAGCTGCAGGAGCAGATGTACCTGGGTTCAGCTTTTCTGGTTCAAGAGCCAGGAGAAGAGCAGTTTCCTGGGCCGGGGCCTCCTGGCCTGCCGGATGCGCACGGCCCGTGGGGACCGCCACACCTTGATGGTGGTGTCGTCACTGGCTGTCAGCAGCAGCTCCTGCTCCACCGGGCTGAATGCCACTGAGTTCACCACATTGTCATGCTGCAGCTTGGCCAGGCAGATGTTGTAGTGCCGGTCCCAGATGTAGCCGTGTCGATCCTCTGCCCCACTGGGGTGGAGAGACAGCGGTCAGTGTGTCACACTGGTCCCAGTGCCAGCCCAACAGCCCCAACAGCCTGCCCTTCCCACACCTGTCCTTCTGCAGGGACGGGGGCAGAGGGTATCCAAGCCCCTGTCTCCATGAGCTTCATCCTGTGCAGGCATCTCCCTCTTAGATCCAGGGCCCCTCAGGTCACCCCACAGCACCTGCAGCCCCAAGAAAGGCATTTGCCACCTGCACCAAACACACCACAGCCCCAGATTTACCCTTTCCTCAGGGATTTACAGCAGAGTATTTACAGCAGGACCAGGGCAGCCACCCTTTATCAGCACTTTCCAAGTCAGTCCCTCTGTTCTTTCCAATCCCACTCCCTCCTCTGTTTCCAACACACAGGAGTGTTTTGCTCACCTGGCCTCACCATGGCAACAGGCCCAGGCCTTCCCAGATGCAGGATCAGGATCCTGCCCACCCCCTCACCTCGCTACGAAGTCCCTGCTGACGTCCAGGAAGATGAAGAAGCACTCCTCATTGGGTGTGTAGGCCCGGTGGGCGCGCAGCGCTCGCTTCACCTCCTTCATGGTCTTCAGGTCAAAGACATGCAGGTCGATCTCCTCAGCGATGGGAGGCGGCTGCATCGGATCCGAGATGACGCAGTCCCGTGGCCAGGCCCGGCTGTTCACATACAGGTACCTTGGGGAGGGCAGGGAGGGGTTACTTGCACTGCACCAGAGCTCACAGAGCCCCCTGGAACAGCAGCGATGGATCCTGCAGCCCAGCTCACTGAAATCCAGGCTGAAACAGGGAACAGGCTGCTGAACACTCCTGGCCATGTCTGGAAAGGACCACTGCACCTGAAAGGTTACTCTAGGGATCAGGTCACACCTCTCTAATCTCACTGAAACGATCTTTAAGGATGGGGCTGTCTTCTGGGCAGCATGTGAAGGGAGACTGCCTCCCTGCTCCATTCAGGTGAGACCCCACCTGCAGAGCTGCCTCCAGCTCTGGGCACCCAACACAAGAAGGATGTGGAGATGCTGGACTCCAGAAAAGGCCACAGAGATGCTCCAAGGGCTGGAACCTCTCTGTTCTGGAGCCAGGCTGAGAGCTGGGGGTGTTCAGCTTGGAGAAGAGAAGACTCCAGAGATAACTCAGAGCCCCTTCCAAGGCCTAAAGGGGCTCGAAAAGAGCTGGAGAGGGAATTTGGGCAAGGGATGGAGAGAAAGGATACAGGGAATGGCTTCCCACTGCCAGAGAACAGGGTTAGATGGGATATTGGGAAGAAATTGTTCCCCATGAGGGTCAGAAGGCCCTGGCAGAGATTACCCAGAGAAGCTGTGGCTGCCCCATCCCTGGAGGTATTCAAGGCCAAGTGGACAAGGCTTGGAGCACCCTGGAATAGTGGAAGGTATCTCTGCCCATGGCAGGGGGTGGAGATTGGATGGTTTTTAAGCTACCTTCCAATACAAACCGTGCTAGAATTCTATGGATAATCTACCTCAGGAACAAGACACATTGGTGTGGGCAGCTCCTCCACTCTTAGAAGGAGTCATCCTGTCCTGAGCTGGCTCAGAAATACATTCCTGCCACAGCTAGGGGCAAAGCTCAGCAGTAACACACCATCACCACCTGGATCAGTAGGCACCCAATCCATCAATCACTTAATGTCCTGGCCACCCCACAGAGCCTGTGAGCAGCTCTTGCCCACCCTGGCAGCTGCTGAAGTCCTTTGTGCTCACCGGTGGTCAGGGGAGAGGCCCATGCCGATGATGTGCCCATGGATGTCGATGACGTGATCCAGGGAGTCAAAGAACTCATCCGAGCGCCGCTCCTCCCCCAGCACCGGCCCTGCGGTCGTCATCTGATGGGGCAAGATCTTTTTAATCCCTGTGGGACAGAACACAGAGGGAGGCAGTTCCACAGGCTGCTGCCAGCAGGGCGGAGGGAGGTCCCAGGCTTCAGGGAGGGGCTTGCCTTGGTGCAGCTAAGAAAGGAGAACCAGCTTGCTAGGCCTGGGACAGGGCTGCTGTCCTGGCCAGGCTCCTTCAACTCACCAGGTGGGCTTTGGGCCAAGCATCTTGCCCATGAGCAAGGTCCTGGCACACCCAACCCCAGACAGGGAGATCCCAGTGCCTGTAGGTACAGCCAAACCTTGCCTCAGCCCATCTCTAGAGCACATGGAAGCTGTGCTGGCCCAGGAGACATGGTAGTTGTAGAAGGGTTTTTCTCCTAAATGATTCCCTGGGCTGGGCCCATTCTCTACAGTAGCCAGCCTT